TGTCTGTCATTTCCCAAAGTATTTAATACAAGAGGAATTCCTAACACACCCAATTTTGTCTCTTCTGTTTTGTCTGAGGGTAAAGGGGAGGGTTGGCTCGTAGATAAGATCTCATGAATCACTCTGAGAACTGCAGAGCAAAGTCAGATATATTGTATTTCCTAACCTTAGAGCCACTGGGGAATGTCCTCCTGTACAGCACAGCAATGATTCACTTGTGCACAGGCAGGACTTCAGCCGCTTGGCCACAGTTACACCCTGGCTACTGAAGAAACTGTAAAGTGAGGCAACAGCTGTAAGCAAACAGCACCAGGACATTTATTATCTGTGCTCTTGGTGATTCAGCAGAGAATAAATGCCATGCTGCCTGTGAGCCACCCAGGGCACGCCACCCTTTGTGTTACTCTGGGGAGTGACTTTGGGAGCCATGAGCAAGCCACATGTATTGGCACTCTGCTGTGACAGAGCTGCAGTCCCAGCAGTTTCAGAAGTCTTCCCTTGCCAGTTTCTGTCCCAAATATCCTTGCATGGTGCAGATACTGCACCCTGGGATAGATGACTTCTCCATGAGCCCAGGCCCAACAAACATCAAGTTGTTGCATATCCACTGAAAAATCAAGGGCAACTGAAAGAGTTGAGCAGCTCCTAAGAAATTTTGCAAAAAAAGTTTTCACATAAGCCTATCACATACTCTTACCACATCTGACTAGAAGTTTATGGCATTTATGAATACAGGACACTTCTTCTAAACAATGTATTTTTTATTTGCTGAAGTCCCTTTTCTAAGAAGGGGCCTGTGACCTAACTTTCAGGTGACTATGTTTAGGGAATTATAGAATTAGTTGGGAAATATACTGCACCATGATTAAAATGCAGTGGATGTGGCATTTGAAATATCAGCAAAAATCCTGCTGCAGAATTCCTTTTTTATTAGAATATATTGAAAGATACTACTTCTCTAAGATAATAAAAATCTAGTACAAGAACAAGATTCATGGGCTGAGGAAGTGCCATAGCCCTGAAAATAGCCTTTCCTCATTTGAGCACACATGGAATGATTTTGACAACTTTTGGTGTTTTACCGTTCTCTCCTAAGGCAGGATGGAAAGGTGTTTAAAAAATACTGGAATTCTCATGATATTAAATCCTTTATTTTATTTTAATAATGATACAAAAACTTGGGTTCTAAGTTTTTTTCCAAAAATAAGAGTATTGTAGCAACCTTTGAAAAACACCTCCTCTCCAATGTTTCTTTAACAGGAATTAAGTAAAAAGATTATGATAGAAGGATTGCTACATTTTGGTTTTGTAATCATCATTAAGTCCACCTTAATTTTAGAAATCTGATATTTGTTTAGGAAAAGTAAAATATTTGAACCTTAACAGGTTGCAAAAGCATTTTTTATCTTGCATTCTTGATTTATCTAGGGTATCCATCTGCATTTCTTGTTCCTGACATTTATGTTATAATTGAAACTCATCTAATTGACTGTAGTTATTCCAAGGACATTTCCTGTAGTTTCATTCAGTGAAACATGACCTCCTGAGCCTACTTTAGTGATTAACTTGTATGATTAGTGTTTGTTTGCTGGGAAAGAAAAAAAAAATCAAATTCTTCCCTGTTGGCCACTGGTCAAAGCAATGATTTTCTGTGAGAGTAAATCACAATAGTAGTATATTCTTTGGAGAATTGTAAAAGCACAATATATAGTTTTTGCCATCTAAACACATCTCAACAATAAGAATGAGTTTGAGTGCTTTTGAAGGACTCAAATCTTTTGTCATTCTAAGTGGTATAACTAAATTATGACTTAAGATAACAGCAATAAAGAAAAGCTTTCTCATTTTCTTTGTGGCTTTCTTCACTGGTTGGTGTGAAATCAGACTCCCAAATAATTTATCTTAGATAACTTAGTCCCAATTCACCTTATGACTAAAGAAAGTATTGCCTCAGACCCTAAAGACATTGATCTCATCAAAGCTCATGTGTAGGAGGAATTCCCCCAAGAAAGAGGAGCAGCCCACAGTACTGAGATGCTGCTCAGAGCTAGACCACAATTTTTGGGTGTAGCTTCTGAGGAAGCAGTTGTTTGAGTTGTTTAAGCCTCACACCTGGTATTCTACAGTGCTTTTACTCAAGGATTGAAAGTGTCCCTTCAGAGTGTTCCTCTCGAGCAACACTGAGAGGAACAACCAGCAAAATATCTGAGGAACTCCTAAAGGAAAATAGAAAAACTATTATTTGTAAATTAATTTGTTGTAATCTTCTGTTAGAGATAGGACTCCTACAATTATTTCAGCTGAAACTGGTGCAGCTTTGGAGGGTTATAACTTTCACTCCTTAGAGGAGAAAATATCTCTGTGTGTGGGATATGGCGTGCCTTAAAATCCAGACCTGAAACCTTGGTTTTCAAAACAATGGTTGTGGAGGCTGAAAATACTTAGACATGTAACGGTAGTTTACTAAAAAGTTACTAAAAGTTTACTAAAAGGAAGGGATAGAAAAAATATTAGCCTTCTACACCACCCTCTTCTTCTGAAGCAAAAGGGAAAAAAATCACCTGAAGAACAGGCTATGTTCTGGGTGCAGTTTTGTTTGTGCTAACTTTTTGATGCAGCAATGAGAGCTTGTCACCATGGTAAACAAGCAAACAGCCGGCTGAGTTAACCTGTGTAGCAACTCCTGTGTTTTCTTTCCTACTTTGTGTGTCTATTTGACTTACAGGAAGCAGAGCTGTCTACTTCACAGAAATAAAAGATTAACAGGTACTTATTGGAATGTGATCTCCTCAGAACCAAACACTAATAGAGGTTGAAATTAATTGTGCATTTAACTTCTGGTTAATGTCCAACCAGCCAGGGTACTGGGTGTACTCTTGTCATTTCAACAAAATATACAGGGTGACTCATCTAAGCCATGGATTAGTTATCTTGGGTCTACATAAAGGTTTACTATTTTCTGCAAAGGAAATACGAGCTGTGAAGAAAGGTAAATGGTCCATACACCCCATTCTATTGATAAGCCTTGAAGTAACTTCGGTGTTTGCAAACTCTTCGAGAATCAGATATGATGGTCTTGAAATAAAGACTGACAAAAATAATTTCACTTAGGAGCAGCTATCCTAATACTCTTTCTTGAGACAGCTCTTTAATTCCTTCATAATTTCCACTTGGACTTGATTAAACTTAGCTTTTTCTGCCATTCTTGCTAAGCCAGCCCTTGCATGACTCAGATGTTCCTGATTCTTCAGAATGGATAAACTGCTTTTGTTGCTGTATGAGCCAAATATGTTTGAGGACCATGAGCATGAAAAGACACTGAACTCCATTCTCCATCCTTATGAACTCAAATATTGGATTCTCAAGAGATCATCTTTGTTTTTAAATTTGCATGATCTCTGGCTAATTAAAGTCCTACATTGCAGAATTGATTTTGTTGCCTAGGCATGTGGGATATAGCTGTGCTATTTCTTTTGCCCTTAAATTCTGCTTGAGATTGGTGTTCAAAAAAATACAGTTTGAATGGTCCTTTCCTAATGCAAACAACATAATACTTTACTAATCCTCAAATTTTCTAAATGTCTCATTCAAATCACTGGGGGAGTACCTTCTCCTCAGTCATTGTTTTGTGACCCATGACTTAATACGACTTAATTCATCATACTAACAATGAATTCTTCCTTTCAAAGTATCATTTTTCCTTTCAAAGTATCATTTTTTCCTTTCAAAATATCATTTTTCAGAAGATCATGAGGCATATTAGCTAATTAAACTTCATGTAACTAGCTGTGTTGCTGGTGTTATAACACTTACGGACCTCAACTGACTGCTGGGTCATTCAAATTCTCTGGGTTAAACCAATGAGAAAACACTGCAAATATTAAATTTTTTTCTTGGTTTTTTTTCCCCTTCTTGTAAAAAACAACCTAAACAATATTAGACAATGATTACCAGAGGATTATCATAGATTAAGACTTCTGTAAATAACTCGTATAAAGCAAAACCATTTCTACTTTTCTTACAAAAAGGGGGAAAATCAACTACCAATTGCAGAAAGCTCAGCATATTTTCTCTTGTACACAAGCAATCTGAAGATTAAATTTTGATATGTATTTTTTTCTGTTCTATATCAGACCATTTTTTGTTTCAGCTCCACTTTATTTCGGCAAAACATGAGTCAATATTTAATATAAAGTCTGACAATGTGCTATTGGTATCAGTATTATAAATGTTTGTCTAATGCATTAGGCAAACTACTGCAGGATTTGGTTTCATGTCATATAAGGAGAGAGGAACAGCGCTTGTTGAGACTTTGATCTTATCCTTATCAACATTAGCTCTTTCTGTTTCTCAGAGAATCTGCTGCACAGAAAAGCTATGATGACAAGCTGCTTCTTGGAAAATGTGGAAAGTCTTTAAGAACTTAGGAGAAAAGATATTACGTGTTTCTGAGCTCTGTTGAAATATCTCCTACGCCTTTTCTCCTCCCTTTACTACGAGGATGTTTTACCCACCCAGGTGGTGGGAAATATTTGGAAGGGGAGTTTCTTTGTATGCTTAGCAATGTGGGAAAGCTATGAGAGGGGTGTTCCCTGAAAGCTGTGACTCATCCCTTGTCTTGAATACAGGCTTTGTTTACTGTGGAACTGCTGAAATAAATACATTTTTATTTAGGCATAAAACCTTCATTATATGTACCTTAAATTAAAAAATCACAAAACTGCTTGAAATGATACACCTACTAGATTCAGGAATGCTTCCCAGTTGTTTTGCACTTTGCCAAGTGAGCCCTTGTTTATGCAGGCTCTGCATGTATTGGCACTTATCCCAAGTCTTAGCAATTTTACAATCCTTTTCTGATAACAAAATTCTGAACATTCCTCCTCTTTGCTGGTGGTTAAGGGAGACACCTCCCATTCTGCCCAGCCAGTTAATGGTTAGAGATTTTTTTCTCAACTCCCAGAGATGGAATCACTGGTATCTCTGGTTAGCCAGATGATTCTGGATCTCCAGTTTTTCTCTGATTTGCAGGACTGAATCTAAAGAGCTTATTGTTTTGTAATGCCAAGGTTAAGGGTTTCCAGGTAAGCACTTTCACTGTTATTAGAAATGCTCCATTTTATATAAAATGTAAGACTGCTTGCAGGAGACATCTCTCTCCAGTTTCTAAGCTATTAATGCTCTCCCCAGGTCCAATAATGATTTCATTACTCCCTATAAGAGGAAGCAGAGTTTCACAAAAGTCTTTTTTCTCTCCCCACTGACTATAAAAGGACTTTAATCCCTTACCTTTGTCTTCTTAATTCTTCCTGAATTAGTCACCTAATTTGAACAATGTGAATATTTTGTGCGTTACTGAGGGCTGAAAATTCCAGCTGGTGTCCAAACACCTGAATGTATTACTCCCTATAAGTGGAAGCAGTTTCACAAAAGTCTTTTTTCTCTCCCCACTGACTATAAAAGGACTTTAATCCCTTACCTTTGTCTTCTTAATTCTTCCTGAATTAGTCACCTAATTTGAACAATGTGAATATTTTGTGCGTTACTGAGGGCTGAAAATTCCAGCTGGTGTCCAAACACCTGAATGCTGATGTGGTAATTTTGGATTTAAGGGCCTGCAAGACATCTAAGCAATACGCATAAGGGTGTTTCTACAAGAAACTCTTCATTTAGATAAAATTACTGTGATTAGGACTAGTGCAAACCAAGATATCTTAACAAAGATCAATCTACATGTTTTACATTTTTATGGGGTTTGACTCTGTCAGACACATGTTAAAATAATCTCAAATATCTTCAGCTGTCTTTAAGTTTCTTTGGTATACATATCATGATACATATCTTTAGGTGTGTGTGCAGTCAGAGAGCTTTTTCTTTAGTAAATGGATAAAGCTCTAGTGATTTTGCTACCAAGCTTAAGACAGCTACTTAAAACAACTAGACTAGATTACATTGAAATTCTTTTGTCCATTGACCACTGAGAGAGTTCAGAAAATTAACAAGCTAAGATCTATATTACAGTATAAACCAAGGTTAAGTGAGATGTCTCTCACTGCACATTACAGTTTGGAGGCCACAGGTCCACTATTTAAATTTTGAATAGAACCACTATACATTCTGTAAAAACCAACTGGTTTTATAGAGGCCAACCTGAAATGAAAGAGTCTTATGAACATGGGTTACTAGATCACAAAAATATGAAAGGCAGTAGAACAGTTTAAATAGATAGGAGCAAAATTTTCTATGACTGTCAGTCACGGTCTGTGAGGAGAGCAGTTTGTAAGGCTAAAAGTGTGTGCAGTGGAAGAGTGTTCCTTTACAATTTGCAGCTGCAAGCTTGATTAAATTCAGATAAATGATTTAATATTTATAGTGAAGTTACACATTAAATGCAAGAATGGTGAATATATTTTAAATTCTCTCCTGATCTGAATAAGATTTCCAGCATTATGTAGGTCCCAAGACAAAGAACTGAACAGTGGTATTCAATTCCATAATTTAATTTGCTAAAAATTTCTTGGAAGGAACATATTGGAATTATGAGACTAATTTTTAATATGCTGGCATAACAAGCAATAAAATGACTTGATAAAGAAATCTGTTGCCTCCCTCTTTTTAACCTAGAAATCAGTTGTTAACTTTCCATTTGTTAAGCTTAGATAATAGCATTATAAGTGTTCACCTCATCTAAGTAGACTGATATTTTCCAGGTCAAACAAGTTTTATCACGCTGTGATTTGTCCAATGTCATCTTAAAACTCCGTTTTAAGGAAATCAGCCCTAAAGGAACTTATTCTGAATTGAAAGCCTAATTTTGTTTCTCTCTCTTGTAGTCTAGCAGTTGCATCAGAGCTGTAACTTTGCTCCTTTTATGGCCTTTATGAATAGACTGTTGTTTGCTGGCCACCAAAGACACAATCTAACTTTTTTCAAGCTTCTAGAAAAAAAAAACACAATGCAATATTGAGAGTTCCTCCTTTTGCATAGGAAACCCCATTAATAGCTTGGTTCATGTATTAAAGTCAGAGTCACAGCATGTCAAATCCTTTATCAGTCACACATCTATTCCCCTCTGAAATCCTCAATTACATAGCTCAGAGCACAATCCAACAAGAGCAGCTCTGTAATCAGATGCAGTGAATGTTTACTGGAATATACGTGTGCATGTGTGTATTTATATACTTACATACGTATGCTAATTTTAATATTCCCATTGTAAACAACAACAACTTGCCCTATGCCTATTTATAATGATCACAAAATGTTCAGAGATTCAGCTAATAACACATTAGCACTTGGCCAGCTGGAGAATTTGTGACGGCTGCCAATTACTTAGAATTCTTCTAATAAACAATAGTTTCTCCCCCTCTTGAAATATATGGAAATGGGCTATTGTTAAAGTGCTGCTGTACTGAAATGGCACCTGGGCTTGCAATAACGTGGAACACTGCATTCCAAGAGAGAAACAAATAATACATGGAACTCCGTGTCCCAACCTATTTTCTGAAGAGTCTGTGAATCTATCCAAGAAAAAAGAAGGGGAGGGGAAAGTGACAGGGCAGCTATCTTCACTGCTTTAATTTGGATCATGTTTACCTTTTACTTACTCAGCCCACAGTACCAAAAGCTTGAGCAGGGTTTGTCAAACAATGAAAATGCTGTTTTTTAAACCATTATTCTTGAAATCTACATATGCATTAATACAAGAACTTGCCCCAAAAGCTGAGCAACCGCTGTGCTAACAATTTAGCGAAGTCCTGGGGTCACTCATTTTATTCCTTTCAGTCACCAGTTTTTTTCAGTTTCCCTTCTATGGTATTCAGTAATTGGGACGATCCATAGATTTTGATTCTGAAAGTCATGAGCTGGCAAATAGGATTTTAGTCCTAAATTTCCTCATAAATCTCTCCTAAATTCATGAAACAGTCAGTTTTATAGTCAGTAGAAAGGTGAGTTATGGCAGACCAGAATGCTGCTGCTGTGGTATGAAGTGCAAAGCAGAACTTTAAATATATTTATTCAGGCAAGTAAAGGACTATTTTCCTTTAGTTCTCACTGATGCAGAAATTTCAAATCTCTATTCTGTGTCAGCAAGTGCTTTTGGTGGGGAGAGAACCACAGCTTCAATTGCTCCATTAAGATTTATGATCACATTTAAGACACATCTCTAAGGACAAATACAGTGGACAGAAACTACAAAAATCATTACACTGGTCTGAGTTCTTCTCTAGCTGTCTACAGGTAAACACATATCACAACATAACCTCATTTTATAAAATACATATTAAAATTCTTCAGGCATAAATCCCACACTAATATTCAGTTGCAGAAGCAGTACTGTGGTCCATAAGGCTGAAAGGTCATATAAAGTATTTATGCAAAATTATTTCTCCAATGTACAGAGCTTTTAGGATTTGGATTATAGCTGAATGTGTGTGTGGATGTAAGATGTTTATATTCATAATGTCCTTGTAATGGAAGCTCAGGTTTTGATTCAATTTCCACACATGACACTGGAACAAGCTCCCAAGGGAAGTGGTCACCAAGACCAAGCCTACAAGAGTTCAAGCAGTGTTTGGGCAACACTTTCAGGCATGTGGTGGCATTCTTGGTGCTGCTCTGTGCAGGGCCAGAAGTTGGACTTTGATAATCCTTGTGGGTTTCTTCCAGCTCAGGATATTCCATGATCTGTTTGGAATTGCTCCAGAAGAAGATTTTGACTCAAGTCCACCTCTAGAATGCCCTACTTAAACTGTGTCTTCTTACAACACATATCTGAAGAGTTTTTGGGGGTTCTAGAAAACCCTTCCCAGCATTTTAACCATATTCAGAAGTAATGATTATGTTCACTACAACTGGCACATTGATGAGCATGACAGCATTCCTTTCTCCAACCTCTGTGTTTATAAAAAAAAAATTTAAAAACCCCAAAAATACCCAAAAAAACCCCCAGATTGTCCTCAGGTACTGTAACATGCCGTTTTTTTCCTGGAAAAAAACGTAAGTCTGATCAAGGCCAATTAAAGAGATTAGAGTTAAATGATTTACGTGCTGTAATAAAAAAGGTCTGCCACAGTCAGCGTTCAGCTCTGTTTATCTGCAAGGCTTTCCCATAAATGTCTTTTGCCAAAAAGCACTGGAATGACCTCCAAGACAGGGTGCTTAACTTGACTGTACTCTTGCCTCTATTTTAATTAGGCTTTAAATGGTAAATATTTACTAATTGTCCTCTGGGTAAATAATTAAGAAGTCTTGATCTGTTTTGCTAGAGTTCATCTGGCAACACTTGCAGATCACAATCTAGACAGGTTTACCTTAATTAAATGTCCTTTTCTTGTATCATTTTTAGAAGCAAAAGTTTCTGAGATGTGCAGATTAGAAGTGTGTGGAAGGAATAGACCCAGCAGGGCCTCAGACATGCCTGCCTTTCCAGCTCCAGTGGGTCTGATTTCAGCTATTCCTGTTTTATTGCACCCATTGACTCCCCATCACATCACAGTGGCCACCACTGGGATGTTCAAGTTAAGAGCCTCTGTGGCCTCAGTTAGGGATGTCAGGGAGTCCTACAGGATGGTGGCCAGGGAGCTGGGGACCACATGGGACTCCCAACCCCAGCCAGGATCAGTGTGTCCAGGGGACACTGGGGACATCCCCAGCCCTGGCACCGGGCACCTCCCTGCGCACCGGGAGGGACCCGGGCTGGGGGTGGCTGAGGGACATCAGCAGGGACTGACAGCCCAGGGGACAGACACAGGTCCTGGGTCATGGCAGGGTGGGGCTGTTCTCAAGGACCTGGGCAAGGACAGGGGTGCCTGTGGTGTCTCAGCCCCGACAATCAACAGCAAAGCTGTCCTGTCACACATGACAGCCGCCTGTAACCTACTGGTTTCCATTTTCTTTCAGTTTGTCCATGTCTGGGCAGATTTTTTTCCTGTGATGGTCATGATCAGATTCCCACATGAAATCAGTTCTCTCACCAAGTGCAGAGTCTTTTCAGGCTGTCAGGAGAAGCAGATCTCTTCAAAGAAAAGCTCACAGTCTTTTCAGGCTGTCAGGAGAAGCAGATCTCCTCAAAGAAAAGATC